CGGCTTTAGTTTATGCGTCGGTTTAGTGGGTGTTAATCCCACCTTGCAGCACCGGCAGCATCCACACTTTGCGAACTCTCGGTTCGTTTTGCAGCTCTGAGCTGAGCTGAGGCTTCCTGCTTTTGCAAGGCCAAGGGGACGGGTTAATTATTAATTAGGGATGGAAACATGGGTGCTGCCCCCGCAGAGCTGAGGTCTCCTCTCCTGCGCCTTTTGGGGATCCCATCCCAGTGCCGAGCCGGTTTGGCTCATTCATCCCGCTGCTGGGCCGAAGAAGGAGGGAGCAACAGTTTTGCAACCCTCTGAGTCCTGATACGGGGTTTTTTTTGGTGGTGTTTGATTTTATTTTATTTTGTTTTGCAGCGTGCCAGCACTATGAACCCCGTGGGCAGCAGCTTTCCCCGGGACGAGGAGCCCCTGATCGAGGAGCCCTCGGTGAACAGATGCGGCCAGCAAAAGCCACACGACCACTTCCACGGAGCCTACATCATTTTTTTCCTCCTGGGCGTCGGGTCCCTGCTGCCCTGGAATTTTTTCATCACGGCAAAGCACTACTGGATGTACAAGCTGCAGAACTGCTCGGATCAGGCGGGACAGGCGGCGTCAGATCTGCGGGTGAGCGTGCTGCTTTCGAGGCAGAAAAAAACCCAACTGGGATCTTTCCTATCTTGTGCTTTTTCTCCTCCGCTTCCTCAGAAGGTGGGGGAACCTCCTCTGGGGTTTTGTCTGCTGCAAATCCCAGGTGGAGGGTTTATTTGGGGAGCACCAGCCCTTGCAAGGAAGATGCTAAAAGCTAAAAGGCGCTTTGTGGTCCGTCTCTTACCTATATTTGAAGCACTAAGGTTTAAAGCACGTTTAAAAAATTTGGCTTAGCCCACCCTATAAGCAAGGCGGCTGCTCGTAGGACAGATTATAAAGTGCGAGGCAAAAAGAAAATCTCCTCTATTTTTTGTCCTTCATGCTTGGTGAGCTCCCTGGCCTCTACTTTCTCACCAGCACTCAACCGCAACTCCCTGTGGGCTGGGAGATCGATGAACCTGAACTTCTGGCCCCACCATGGGGTGCTGAACACCTTTGAGGGCGTTTTTCCCCTTTCCCCTGGCTGGTGCAGGACATCACGTGGAGGTGGTGCTGGGGCTTTGCAATAGCACCAGTCCCCTCCCTGTGTACTTTCCTGCTTTTTCCTTCAAAATCTGGCAGGTGTGACTGGAATATTTCCTTGCAGCCATCAACATCTGGCTTTTGGCACCTGGGGTGAGGAGCTTGTCAGGGAGCAATTGATGAGCTGGCCTGGAGGTTTGATGCCTTCTTTTATTTCTTCTCCCTTCCAAAAAAGCCGCCTTCTCTCACTCCTGCCTTGGCAGGATTATTTCTGTACCCACTCGACAGAGCAATGAGGCTGCATCCTGGTCTCCTCGTTCGAGTGGTTTGGGCACATTTTATTTTTATATAAACATGGAGCCAGGTGTGTCTCCCATGTATCTTCTACCAATTTGTCGCACCCGTGTGGCATCCGTGGCTGTTTTAATTTTAATAGTCATTAAGCCACCTGCGTGGGAGTGAAGCAGAGGCAGCTTGTACCAGGATGCTGAAGTACTGGTGGTATAAATTGAGATACTGGATGGATTAAACCGATGAAGACCAAACCTGTGTGGCCCCCAAAGACTGGAAATAGGCTTGCAAGGGTGCTCAGAGAGGGGATGAAGCGTGCTCTGCCACCACATGGCACGGTGTCCTCCATCCCTGCATCCCACCTGCTCCTTGTGGCTTCTGAATCATGCTTGCCCAAGGCCATTCTTGAAAAAGCTGATTTTGAGTAGAAGAAGTATCACTGGGTGTCTTCTTCCTAAAAACTCTTGCCCAGCTGTATTCCTGGTCAGATCATGTTACTTTGTGGGGGAAAAAGAAGACCTTTCTCTTTCTGTGTGGCCATGCCACAACAATTTTGACTTCCTCCCATGAAAAAGCAACCTCACTGTCCCATGGCAGCCAGCTGATTTCATCCAGGGAATTAAAACTACTTTGCCAAAGCATCTCAGTGACGCCAGTGACTAATTTACCACCACGATGCTGTGTTCTGGTTGGGGGTGGTTGTTTTTTAAGGCACCAAGCGCCCAGCATGCCTCATGGCAGGCTATTTGAAGATGCTGTGGATAATAGCAACCTTCATTATGTGCTCTGGCTCACAGCTTTTCTACTTGGCTTTTCTCTTCCAGCAGAGCCTGGGTAAGGCAGGGTAAACTAACTCGGAAATGTATTAAATATCCCTTGGGCTGGTTTGGAGGTCTTTTTTAAGTAGGTCAGTAAATAAGCCTTAGTTTTAGCCACCAACTTTGTGTTTTGCTTTGCTCACCTGTAATTCATCGAATGGCCATAGAGCTTCGAGCCTCCTGCTTTGCCACACTGATGCCGTTTGTGTCTCCAACTATATGGACCCTCAAGGAGCGATTATTAGATTTCTCGGTGCTTACAGTAAAGCTCCTGATAGGGAAAAACAAGTGAATATGCTTGTAAACTGATTAAAAGAACGCAATGCAAAGCCACAAAAAGAAAAAGTTAAAAATAAGGTAATGTGTGAAATGCCTTCTCGCGCTCGGCTCCGTTTCTGTAGCTAGGTAACTGCAGGAAATGAAAGCCCATGGCAGTGGGAGTGGGTATGTAGGTCATCTTTGCGAGCATCGTCCTACCTGCTGGCTGAAATTCCCCTGGGGAAAAAAAAACACACAAAACCCAACAAGGGATTAAGCACCTTGAGGGGAGGAGATAGAGCAGACACGCTTTAACAGTGAAATACGTAAAATGGAGTGAAAATGTAAGTGGTTGGCAGCAATCTTGGTGGAGAAATCGCTCTCTGCTGTGGTTATTGCCTGACCTCTGGGTGAGACAAGCTGTCGAATATTGACTGGTGCTGTAGCCGGCTTGCTCCAATGGCACATGACTCCCCAGAGTAAATGTGTGTTGAGACTCTGTATAGATTCTCAGTGAGTTTTGTGCAGGCAGAGAGAGACTGGGAAGGCAAATAATGTCCCTGTATCCCTGCTCAAGCACATTCTCAGGTGTGGTGTTGGGCACGCGGGTTTGTAGCTGTCATGGGCTTTTGAGGAAAATAATATTAATCCTTTTGTGTCCTGATTTATTAAAAAAAACCCCAGCCCTCATGGAGCTCGAGTAGGATAAAATGTTCAGGGACTTTGTCTGGGATGCTGGAGCCAGAAGGAGAAATTCAGACCTCCTTATTTCAGCTGCTGCCCCATGGGGCAGTGTGAAGGTAAGGCAGGTATTTCCGTTTGTGTCCCTAATTTCCTGAAAAATCCTGGGGCTTGTTGCAGGATGGAAAACCCCTGCGGGCCTGTTCCCTCTGCCTCTTGTCTTGAGCAGCTTTGTAACACGCGCTACGATGCAACGAGGTGGACGCCTCCATCATAACTCCTTAGGCGCTCTGTCTTTAAGATGTGAAATTCATGTGTTGTTTCCCGTTTACTTTTTTCTTTTCCTTTGATTTTTTTTTTTTTTTTTTTTGGTAATCTGGCAGGACTATTTTGAGAGTTACATCTCCATCGCTTCGACTGTGCCCTCAGTGCTGTGCCTGATTGGGAACTTTGTGCTCGTCAACAAGTAAGCGCTGCTCCGTCCCCGGCTCCGTTAGCCTCGGCTCTTCCTGGCTTTGCCGGCGTCGCTCCTGCCTTTCTCCGGCTGCAGCCCTGCCTCCCAGCTCAGCATCCCCTTCCCTTGGTTTTAATAGTTTTAATGCCCTGGATGAGCATCATTAGAGCATCCTCCTCCCTGTTCGGCCAAAACCTCCTCATCTTGCCCGTGCTTGAATTGCAGCTGGCTGAGATGAAGCCGGGTGAAGCACCGTGGCTCCCCGCCAGCAGCACCCCTGCGTGGGGATGGCTGAGAAGCACCAACTGTAAATAAATTCCTGGGTTGATTGCTTGGCAAAATGGGCTTTCCTCTTAAAAATGTAGTTTTTGCCAGGAGGGGACCGACTGAGGAGAGCTGGACTCATCTAGGCGGGAGTAACTCCTTCCTCTGGTCCTACCAGCTGCTGATCTAGGTTAGGAGGTGGACCCTCTGTACCTAAAATCCTTCTCCCAGATCAAGCTCCAACACCTCTGTGAGTGAAGGGGAATGTGTTCGCGTGCTTAATCTTCCCTTCACTCGCAGGGTGCCCGCCAGCGTCCGGATCCTGTCCTCCCTCTTTGTCATGCTGGCCATCTTCTTGGTGATCACGGTGCTGGTGAAGGTCGACACCTCAGCCTGGACCACTCGGTTCTTCGCCCTCACCATCGGCTGCGTGGTCGTCGTCAGCAGCGCCTCGACCGTCTTCACGAGCAGCATCTTCGGGCTAAGCAGCCGCTTCCCCATGAAGAACTTGCAGGCGCTGATCTCGGGTTGGTGTCATCCCCCGCCCTACCCAACCCCACCCAGAAGCGGTGCCGTTCCAGCGGTGATCATCCCGCTCTCGGGTTTTTGGCAGCTGCTTTTTTCTCCCTCCTGCATCTGGCACTTCATCATAGAACCCTAGACTGGCCTAGGCTGGAAGGGACCTTAGAGATCATTTAATCCAACCTCCCTGTCGTGGGGAGGGACGCCTCTCAACTAGATCAGACAACACATGGGGACACGTGGGATTTATTTTAGTTAAACTTTGCCTTGAAGATAAAGGGAAGTTGCTGAAGGAGAAAAGCGCTCGGTCACATGAGCTGGTGCTTTTTGTTTCTATACATACCTGTAAACCAATGTGCTGAGGGGTCAGGAGAGCAGCAGGTTCTTCGCCATCCCTGCCTGGGGGGTGGACGTGGCTTGACCTGGTTGTTTGTTTTGTTCAGGGAGAAGGAGACACGGCTCCTCAGTTGGCAGCCGGAGGAATCCTCAGCTTTGCCTCGTCTCCTCCTTTCTGTTCAGCATCTTCCATGAGTGATGAGAGAGCTGTGAGTGATGAGCTCCCTGGAGGTTTGAGGCTGTTATAAATGTGCTGTGTAGCGGCTGGCAAACCAAGAAGAGAACAAGGCAGGGTGGGAGTGGAAAATCAAGATGGAGAAATTTTTCCCAGGACTGAGACCGGAGTGTTTTAGTGAGTTCACGCCAGTGGGGCGAAATCACCACTTCCCTGAGATGGCGTTCCTGTTGCTGGTGGCTTGAATCCCCGTCTTGGGGGACTGAGGAAGAGAGGTAGTTGTATGTGGAAAGAGAGGTTTAGGCTTTGGGCAGGGATTGGACCTTCTCTGGAGGGCTCAGCACAGGCAAGCCCAGCAGGTCGGGTCCCATCCCAACCCTGGGGTGCCAGGAGGTGTCAGGAAGAAGATGCTGCTGTTCCCGAGTTCTCTGCATCCAAGTCCTCCTCGCTGGAGGTGCTGTGGGTTGCTCTGTCACCTCGACGTCCCACCTGGGATGTCAGGGTTGGGCTGTCTCAACCCTGGGCGCTGAGCTCAGTCTCTTTGGTTCCCCCTCGCAGGTCAAGCCATGGGTGGCACGATCAGCGCAGTTGCTTCTCTGATCGACCTGGCAGCAGCAGCCGATGTTACGGACAGCGCCCTGGCCTACTTCCTCACCGCTGACATCTTCATCGTCATCTGCATCATGGTCTACCTCCTCCTGCCCAGGCTGGAGTACTCCAGGTGTGTGTGGACATCCCACAAGCACGGGTCGGGGGGGTGGTTTGCTGAGCAGTGTTGTTGGGGGAGATCCACGGGATGCTCGCTGTGCCCCATCACCCACACTGGCATCCCACCCTGTGCCCCACGTTCTCTGGCGCAGTGTCACCACCGGCCACGCTTCTTCCCCATTTCACCAAAACCACAGACTGAAACTGGGCGTCCATCCCAGCACATGCTGAGTTTCTGTTAAGCCTCCCCAGGGGGTGCTGACGCTGGAGCTTCCAAAACTGCGGGAAGTCAGCAGAAAGCCGCAATCTGGAAGCAACCAGCCAGGTGGGTGCCCGTAGGGCGTCCGTATCTGCAGCATCGTGCACTGATGTGCATCATCTGTCGGTCTTGTTGTTGCTTGTGACCCCCTGAAACCACCTGGCCCCCCCAAATGCTTGTGTGCAGTAGATCTCCCCTCTCTGTGAACCACTCGGGGTGTAAGGGGATCCCCGTGGTGGGGAAGAGGGGGTAGTGGGTCCCCGAGGGTCACCTCTCTGTACAAGGTGGGAGCTAGAGGTGTGATGGGGACCCTTTGTGAACATCCCAGCCTCGCCAGCTTCTCTCTTGCTCCCTCTCCAAACCTCAGTTTGTGTTTTCCCACACACACTTGGCTGATAATCTCCCTCCTCATCGTTTTCCAGGTATTACATGAGCAGCCAGGAGGAGAGCCCATCGCTGGCCGCTGTGTTACCCAACAGCTCCGTGGAGGACGAGGCAGAGCTGGGAGGCACCGCAAACACCTCCTTCCTCACCAAAAGCACCAGCATCCCCCCACTCCGCCCTATCCTGCGGAAGACCGCCTTCCTTGGCTTCTGCCTCTTCTACGTCTTCTTCATCTCTATCATCATCTTCCCTTCTCTCTCCTCCAACATCGAGTCTGTCAGCGAGTCCTCAGGAAGCCTGTGGAGCACCAAGTACTTTGCACCGCTCACAAGTTTCCTCCTGTACAACTTTGCCGACTGGTGCGGGAGGCAGGTCACCGCCTGGATCCAGGCACCCGGCCCCAGGAGCAAGCTCCTGCCCGCCTTCGTCCTCCTCAGGACCATCTTCCTCCCACTCTTCATCCTCAGCAACTACCAACCCCGGGCTCACATCCGGACAGTGGTCTTTGACCAAGATGTCTACCCGGTGGTCTTCACGGCGCTGCTGGGGTTGAGCAATGGCTACTTGGGGACGTTGGTCATGGTCTACGGCCCCAAGATCGTGCCCAAAGAGCTGGCCGAGGCGGCAGGGGTGGTGATGACGTTTTACCTTGTGCTGGGGCTGGCTGTGGGCTCCGCTTGCTCCGTTCTCGTTGTCCACCTCGTGTAGAGGAGTGGCTGGTGGTGGGGGGATGCCCTCGGTTTGCGGTACTGCTGTCAGGTATTTAAGGTTGGATTTATTTTATTTTTTTTGTTCCCCAAAAAGCCAGGCAGCACCACAGTTTTGGGGCAGGCAGCCTGCGAGGGAAAGTTCTCCTTCTGAGAAGGGGTGTCCCCTGTGCTTAGGTCATTGTCCCTGTTGGGCATTTCTCATTTCCCTGGATCAAAGGGACAAAAAAAGCCTGGAGCACTTTGGAGTAAGCTTCAGGAGAGGATGGCAGCCACATCAAGGCACAGGGCAGCATTTCAGGGGGGATTTTGCATATTCATATGACCAAAAAAATTATATATAAGGGAAACTTCTCCCACTGGAACTTCTGCGTGCTTTAGTTGTTCCAGCTAAGATGAATCGAGGGATCATCCACCTCCCAGCACGGTGCTACTAGTGCCAGGTCTGGGCACCAACTTACCTGTCTACAGCGGTACCCCAAGGAAAGCAAAATGCTGAGTGGTCCTAACCTAAGGTTTTTAAGGGGCCTGCCTTGAGAAAGGTCTGTAATACCCATGCAGGGATATTAGAGAGGCCCTAGTGTGATGTTCGCAGCAGAAAGCCGATTAATTTATATAGACAGGCGACATATGGTCTCCAGATGTTTCCCAAAACACCCAAAAATACAGCCCACCCAAAGAGGACCAGCTTTTAAAATCACTTAAACTTCCCTATGCAAATGTAGCCTGGACTAAGTACAATTATTTTCTCCAAGGGGGTGAGTTTATGGCTTAGGAGAGGTAAGCAGGGGCGTAATGGTGTAACTTAGTGTTGCAGCTAATGCCTCAGGGATGCTCCCTGCCGAAAATTCTTCCTTTAAGCTCGGGTTGTTAGCTGATGCTCTAGTGGTGGGATGCTCTCTCAGCATCTCCTGCTTGACCAAGTAGCTCCTGTGGCCAGCGTTGACCCAGGTGAAGGTCCACCTTGAAGGTCAGCCCCAGGGCTGAGGGTAGTGATGCTGGATGCCGCTCGTTGAGGGGAGGGAAGAGCTCCCATCGCTTCTGTAGCATCGCTTAGAGTAACGTGGTAGTCTGTCAGTGGCTGAAAAGCCCAAGCCCAACCTCCTGTTGGCAACCAAAACGTGCCTTTGTGAGCTTCGAGAGCCTTGGCCCATGGTCTGCCCTCTTCAGGTTACATGTTTGGTTTTTTTTCTCCTGGTCCCAGGTATAACGAGATTCTGCTCATTTGATGACAGCTTTGCTGATCCTCATGTTACACAACAAATACCTCTCGGGACAGAACGTGATTATCTGGTACAGTTACTAATAAAATTAATTCTTGATACTGTGGAGCTGCGAGTGTCTGGAGTGATTTCTCTTGATGCATGCAGTTTTTACTTGCATTTTTAACTTCTGGTCATCCTTCTCTCCCAGCTCAGATTGTAAACTCAGAGTAATCACTGACTGGGGCAAGGAGCCCTGAAAAAAAATGGCTTTGAGACCCCGGTTTTTCTAATTTAGTATCTCCAGATGACCCATAGGTAGGTGTGGAGATCATACTTACCTCATCTGCAGGGGGAAGCAAGGGAAAAAGGAATTTATCCTTTGTCGTTGGTAGTGTTCAGCTGAGGAAGGTGAGAGAAATGAGAGGGGAAAAAATCAATACAGGTTCGAATTGAGCAAGAATCAGGTCTGGGGATAAAGCAGGGGCTGCTGACGGGAGCGCTGTGGTACAGGGATAAGTGTTGAGAGGCAGCGTGTTTCATGGTATTTAGCCAGGTGATTACACTTTTTATCTGCTAGGTCTCGATGAGCTTCATGAGAAGGTCTTGGTTTGGACCTAGGACACGCCAGGTCCAGAAGAAGACCTCAGGTATGGGCAGGACTGGGAGCTGAGCTGGGTCCATGGTCTTCCTCACCTGTCCAAAAACATAGGTACCAGTTTTTTATCTCTTTTGATTAACATTGTCTGCTCGGCTGTTTAAGAAATACTCACAGGGCTGTAAACGTTTTCAACCATTTTTCAGCCAAGGAAAGTGGGTTGAGAGCTTGGCTGGAGAGGCAAGGACCACGCGCTCACTGCACGGCTTGGCCTCATCTCACCCGTGGCCATAAAACGAGTGGTGTGGGCTCATCAGTTGCGGGTGCCTTCCCCTCTTTCTCCCTGATCTCCAAAGCCTTGACCCTACTCGGTGGAGTGTCCCATAGGATAGAAATGCAGCCACCTCTCCAGCTTCAGGTACCAGCCTTTGCGTACGGAGGTTTTGGCGCGGCCCCGTTCCTCTTCGGGAGGCAGAAGCATCTTTGAGACAGCCTCATCCATCCTTCAGCACCACCTTGGTGGTGACCAACGAGAAGCTTCTGCTGCCTCTCTCGGTTCTGCGGGGTTTGGGGGCAGGACTCACCCTTTCGGTGTTTTGCTGGGATGTGCCTCAGTGGTGGGAGGTGGGGCCTGCTAGAGTGGTGGTACTCAAGCATGGTGTCCCCCACCTGCACCCCTGTCTGCCCCCCCCGCATCCTAACAAAGCTCCTAACGAGCTCTGGTAGTCCCCATGGCTGGTGTGCATGACCTCCTTGTTAATTATCACTTGATTTTTAGGGAGACATCACCCCACGGCAAATGAGGTGAGGCTCTCCTGCCCCTTCCAAAACTCTGCTGCCTCCTCTTCTGCAGCCATGGGAAAAAAAGGTGGTTTAAGTATTTAAATTTCATTTTAGGTATTTAAACAGTTACTTAATGATTTGTTTGTTATTTATTCAAGGTATTTTGGCTCTAGGCCTTTTTCCTCATGCTTGTGTGCATGGGGTGAAAGCTTGCCCACCTCTGTGGTGAGCATCCTCAAAACGCTGGTGGTTGTCATCTTCAGGGGGGCTCAGGCAGGGCCAGGGTCCCCGGCAGATGAGCAGATCCCGCCCTTCTGCAGGCACCCCAGAGGAAACAAAAAAAAAAACCCAGCAACCTCGGCTTTGAAACCTCGCCAGCCAGCTGCAGGCTTGCCCGGCTGCTGTTCTCCTTTTACATGTTTTATAGAGTAATTTGTACTATATTTACACGACAGTGACAAACCAGTTTTTAAAATGGAAGTGAAGAAAAATGCTGTTGAATGAATTGTTACAAAAAAGCCCCGTTTGCCATTCCAGCAAGGGGGGAAAAAAAGAGGGATAAAAATCACCATCCTAGGGACACGCCGTTCATCAGATTTGGGTATTTTTTCCCTTGATTTGTGTGCCTAACACGAGGAGAAGAAGTCGCAGATGCATGCTGAATTCTGCAGGGAACATATGCATGCATTTAAATCATTTACAGCATTTACTGGTGCAATTGTAAAGCACATTATTTTCCTGCATTTGTAATTAGGCTCTAAACAGATGGTGAAGGACTGTAGCTTCTGATTAGACAGGCTTGTGCTCTGTTGGACGGCACTGTGAGAACAAACTGAGCCGAGAAAGTTTTTCCTCCTCATTTATCACGCCCTGGCGGGGAGGAGGGAGGGAAAATGTAGAATATCTGGGGCTGGCTGAGCACGAATTCCAGCTTGCCCCTAGCAGGCTGGGCAAAGCCAAGCGAGCCAGAGGCTCCTTTCCCTCTGCCATCCCCGCTTGCTGATGGATGGGGTGCACACACATTCCTCCTCCTCCCCAGCTTCGATTCCAAGTTTCATAACCCCGCCTGGCTCCACGCTGCACGGCTTCAGGTACCCAACGGTGTGGGATGGAGTGTCTGCTTTGACGAATGCTTTTAATAGGAAGCAGAAGGCTCAGGGCTGAGAAAAGGGGCTTTTAAAGTAGAAGCAAGCGCCAGGCTGGCGGCTACATGCCTGGCATTAGCTCTACTCTTCGACGTAGTTGTTTGGGGCTTTTTTTTTTATTCTTTTTTTCCTCCACCTTGGTGAGGTGGGTTGAGCCTCTCCTACTCCAAAGGCTGACGGTTCTCATCTTGCTGCTCCGCTACGGTTGCTGTCAAAGTTACACACAGGGGTGCCCAAGAAATGGCCAAGGGGCAGGTTGTCTTCCACCTGGCACAGCGCTCTGGGGGTCCCTGACTCCTCCAAAAAAGTAGGCAATCTGGACCTGCAACTGGGAGATTTCACTGCAGGGAAGGTGGCAGAGCAAAGGGTACGGTGGCATGGGACAGGAGGGCAGGTCCTGAGGGCTGTCCTGTGGGTGCTGTGCCTGTAGATGGCACCTTTTGCTCTGCTGAGGAGAAAAGAAAAACCGAGGGGAGAAAAAAACCCACAAAACACAAAGAACCCAATACAAAAACTGGCTGGTAAGGTAGGGCTCAAAGGGAAGTAAAGATGCTTCTGTGCGTGGTATGAGGTGACTCGGGGTAGTCATCCCCAGGGTTGCCCATCGCAATCACCGCCAAACCATCACTGCTCTGTGCATTTTCTAACATTCTCCACCAGCAGTAATTTACAGCAAGGTGTAAAAGCCAGTGAAAAGCACCCTCGGCTGCTCACGGAGTGCTTGGGTGCCACGTGAACTGGGCACAGGCTACAAATGCGCGCTCAGGTCCTGCCCTTCCCACTGTCTTTAAACACATTTGCTTTACCCTCCTTATGGCCTCGCACCTTTCAAAGACGCGATTTGAAATGCAGTACTTCTGCATTTCACGAGGCAAAAAAAAAGAAAGGAAGCCAGTTGCTCTTTCAGCACTTTTCTTCTACAGGGAGAGAAAATGCGAGCCAGTCCTTTAACTTCGCTCGGATCCCCCTCCAGGCCCCTCCACTCATAAACTGGTAAACAAACAGCATGATCCTCATACTGGCCTTAAAATTCTGTGTGAAACAGACCTGGAAATTAATTTCACACTGAAAAAACCATCTCACCCTCAGCTGTGGTACAGGGGGTCGAAAAGAAAACCCCACGACCACTGTACAATTTAATTCTGTGACTCAGGGGAGAGGGGAGCACGGAGGGGAGCTGCCTCCCTCGTAGGGTGCTGGGAAGCCAAGGATGCTGGACAAAATCACTGTGTCCCCCAAGAAGTGAAAGGAGGGAGCACAGCTGCTTCTCCCT